TTCTTCAGCAAAACAGAACAAACGAAAATACGACAAGAAACAGAGCACGGTAAAAAAAAAAAAAAAAACGTTGGAGATCTCCTTTGCTGTTGCCGGAAGTAGCTACCTCAATCACTCGGCATCTCTCCCGTCGTTCTCTCTCTCGATTTCTTTTATAAGTCAGCGTACATTACGTACACACTCATTTAAAACACTGGCACAGCTTTCAAACCAAAGGACCTAAGCGTCCTTGGGACATGAACATTCACTGCAAGTCATTTAAACATCTCACTTAACTTATTTATTCAGCGTTGTCTAACACATTTTCAACCAATGGACGCTCACGTCCTTGTAACATACTTGTATTCTATTTAATTACAGCAGCCCACTTAAAATATGTAATACTAAAACAGGTATTAAAGCTTCCATGAACTTGTCAGATGTATTCGACCGTTGAACGATCCTAGGTGGCGCTCGTTGTCATAGTCGTTTGTAAACTTGATTTTATATCCGTTAAATAAAACTGTTTTTTTTTTTTTTTTTTTTTTTTTTTTTTTTTTTTTTTAATAGTCTTTTTTTTTTCCAAACCATCAACATTCTTCCTGAAAACCAATAATGCCAAATCGCTTTTAGGATTACTATAATTGTGCAAATTAATTTTGTTTTTTGTTGGGTTTTTTTTTTTGGAGGGGGGTGGGAGTGGGGTAGACGCCCTTGGATCATGTTGTATGAATCACATCACAATGAAAATACATATTCTTTTTAATCTTTAATACCGATTATTTACATTAATTAACGAACTGCTTTCTGAAAAACTTTGAACTTTGATTTGTATACCCCCTTCTACCCTATTTTTTTTCTTTTCTTTTCATTTTTAAAAGGGTTCTTATAAGTACAGTAACGAGGCCGCCCCCGAGACACTGAACAAGAGACAGGTCTTGTACAAGTACTGGGCCCGTTGGGGCTGCTGGTACAAATACCAGCCCCTGGACCACATCAGGGAATACTTCGGAGAAAAGATTGGCATCTACTTCGCCTGGTTAGGTCAGCGGATCTACGGACCTGTCCGAATCTTTACATAACTCTTTTGCTTTTTTTTTTTTTTTTTAAAGCTAGACTTTTTTCCCACTTGAAACTTTCGTGTGATAATTATTAAGAATTATTACATCGTGTAAAAAATTGACCAACATATTCAGAATATTAACTTGTTTTCTTATTTCTCGTACTGTGTTGCTTTTAACTGTTGTTTTTTGTTTGTTTTTTTCTTGTTTTTTTTTTTACTTTCCGAATCTTGTGGACCACTAAATTAATGTTAAATCTATGTTAATCAATCGTCCTTACTTTGGCTTTATAAATTCAATGCTGCCGTCTGCTAAGTAGAGTTTTAACTATGTCGACACATCCTTGACTTCCTGACACCGCCCAGTTCAGTCTTTAGGTTGATGTTCAATGTTTGTCTCTCTGACAGGTTTCTACACGGCCTGGCTGCTTCCCGCCTCAATCGTTGGTGTCCTGGTCTTCCTATACGGCGTCATCACGTTTGATGGTAACATACCAGCGTAAGTCCTTAGTTCAGTCAGATGGAAGTCAACCCAGGGAGATTAAAAAATGTATGCTCCCTGATCCATCATATTATATTCAATTTTCAGGAGACTGGTTCAAATCTTTCCTGGTGTCAAACGGTCCCATCATTACCCGCCCCCGTGGACGCTAACCCAGCTGGATGTTACCCCGACTGGTCGTTACCCCAACTGGACGTTACCCCAATTGGTCGTTACCCCAACTGGACCTTAACCCAACTGGTCTTTAACCCCAAAGGATATATATTTCTAAAGCAGCGGTTCTCAACATCCTAGTCGCCTAAGACCATCGATAAACACATATTTATGAAGTAGCCACGAAAAAAGTATTATGTTTTAAGGTCAGCACAGCATGATGGAACTGAATTAAAGGGTCGCGGCATTAGGAAGGCTGAGAAGCACTATGCTAAAGTCTAATGCACTGGGTTTTCTATAGGAAAACAGACGCGAAATTTAGATGATGGGGTATGGAAGGGTATTTATTTTAATTTAAAAGGGACTGGGGCTCGGTGTGGATGGTTTTTAGGCAAAGAAAAGGGCGTGTGTTTTGAGTGACGTGGGTTACGGTGGGGCCATGTGAGTATATGGATCTCCCCTTAACAGAATAAGCCTAAGGCGCCCACTGTCACAGCACACTGTGATGGCTGATGCCCCATTCCTCCAATGTTATTTTAGAATTACAGATATCAGAGTACAGAGAGCTAACCAGTGTCGTCGTAACTAGGGTACGTGCCCTGGGGTACGTGCCGCNTTAAAAAAAAAAAAGGGGCGGGGGGGGGGGGGGGGGGGGCCCAACCCCCCCCCCCCCCTCTTGCCACTTTCCTGCACTAGTGAAACTAATCCCAGCAGATAGCTGTCCAATACACATGATTTAACTCATGAACGCAGCATGTGGTGAATACAACTAACTAGTGGTCTTCGAGCTTAAATTTATTCATTCCTAATTTGACCTTAACCTTATAAGTACTCTCATCGTGGTCCGTTAACAGTATTTGGGGGTCGTGGCAGCCGTCTCGCGCCAACGACCGGGAAGCACATTGATGAAAATAAATAATTTAATTACTATGATCTTCTTCACTGAACTGAACTTCGGGCTCATGTCGCGTGGGACAATCGGACTGCTTGATGTTGAAACCCCTAAAACTCGCTGACCAAAATAACTTTGTATTCCAGTTTAAATGTATCCACTCCTACTTTTCCCTTCACCATTAGTACTCGCTTCACGGTCCGTTAACGATATTTGGGTATCGGGGGCAGCCAGAGGCGTAGCGAGGATGTTTGGCGCCCGGGGACAAGATTCGCGCCCCGGGGACAAGATCAATTTTAAAGCACCCCCTTTTCTTTTTTCAACTCTCAAACCCATTATTTTTTTTTTATTTAGCGCCCGGGGACATCTGCCCCCCTGCACCCCCTCCTCGCTACGCCTCTGGGGGCAGCCGTCTCACGACTGTGACGGGGTAGCGCTTACCTAAACTAAAAAAAAAATTAATAATTTCATTCCTATGAACTTCTTTCCTGACCATTGGGCTGATGACGCCGAGGGACAACCGGACTAATTCATGCTAAATCCCCAATCTCCGAGGAAAAGAACTTTTGTTGAAATGTGTAAAGTAAAAATATGTCTTCCCGTTCTTTATCAAACAAGTTCCCGGCCGTCTCCACTGTTGCCTTGTTGATGCAGTGGCATTTTTGTTGACTGATGCCATCATTATTGTTTCCAAAAGTAACCTTCTGATCATGGCCTCATCAGTGAAATAGCTCTTGCTCTTTCTTGTGTGTGTGTACGTGCGTACCTGCATGTGTGTGTGTGTAATGTGTGTGTGCGTGCGTGCATGTGTGTGCGCATATGTGTGTGCGTATGTGTATGTGTGTGTGCGTATGTGTGTGTGCGTATGTGTGTGCGTGTGTGTGTGTGTGTGTGTGCGCGCGTATGTGTGTGTGCGTATGTGTGCGTACGTGTGTGTGCGTGCGAATGTGTGCGTGCGTGCGTGTGTGTGTGCGTGTATGTGTGT